CCACCACCACCACTATCGCAGATGACGCTCCTCAGCACCATTCTCCCCATGCCCCACTCCCTCGCCATACCGCCATGCACTCCCACCATGCCCGACTCCCTCGCCATGCACTCCCTACCACCACCTCGCCGACCGCTCACACCCCCAGAACACCGATACCGTGTGAGGACTCAAAGTCCGAACGGACGCCCCCGGACGGACCGGGCGCAGCGCTCCCGGTAGCGCTGCGCCCCTCCCAGAATCAACCCTCCTCCAAAGGACGCCTAGGTATCTTCCTCTCTCCCATACCACTTAAGATCCACCAAGGCCAGTTCCAAAGGAGGGAAGAATTCTGGAAAATCCGCAGCATCTTTTAATATATCATCAGGCCCCAAATTTCACCATCGATTGAACACTATTTTGTAATCTCGCTTGACTGGCGCTTTCAAAACCTTTTCTGCAGCCCATTCCACTTTCCCAATGTTCCTGCCCTCTGTCCCCTCAAGCCAGTCCTTTTGAAATTGTGAGATAATTTTTTTGATGTCTGATTTCTGAAAAGAAGTTTTGAACTTATTCGTGGTATTAGTCCAGCGAACTCGGATTTCTGTTTCCACAAATTGCTTAACAATATCTGTGAGTTCTGTCCCTTCAAGCCTTACTTCTTCCATAGCATGCACACATCTTTTCTGCCATAAGGCCCAAAGTACCGCTTTCCTTCCCAGATGAAAAAGATTATCTTGGAAGGTAGATAGTGATAGGGTAGAGGGATCACAATATCCAAATAATATCACCCGCCAATCCCATGGCCAATCCAGTTCCGTCAAGCGTTTCCAAACACAATCCCATCTTCTCCACATCAGAATTGATCCTGGGCACTGTGTAAATATGTGCTCTATGGTTTCCCTATATTTACGTGAAGGGAATGACAAGAAGCAGAATTGGCACCAAGGGGATGCAAGCCCCTTTTGCTCTAAAGTTTCTAAAGTTGTATGGTCTGTTAGCAAGTCATTGGTGGGCAAGCAACGATGCACAATCTGCCATTGGAGAGATGAAAACTTGGCTGGTCTTTCTTTAATTTTTTGGAACCAGCGCAGGGGTCTAAGTTCCTCCATACTAATATTTAGATGTTTTGCCCATCGGTCCTGCGTAAGTGCCATTACATCAACCTTGGATCTCAGCAGACGATATGCAGCTTGGACCGTGAGTGATTGTAATGTTCTCATTTTACCTTGTTGGCTAGTCATAGTCCTTGCACTGCTGCACCTTAAAGACGTAACTGCAGTTGCTGTCATTTACAAACTTAGATGTAAATCAGTGACCTACCTAGTGATGGAATGTACGTCTGAATATTAATCGAGGTGTGCTTAAGAAGACTCCTTGGAACACTATTTTTAATCACCACTCTCTTTCTGAGACAACATCTTCCCGAAGCCTTCAGATGAATAGTGCTACCAGACAAAAATGGCTTGTGGCTCAAGCCAAACGGGAAAAAAAAAAACATTCACTGTGGCATTTCGTCACAACTTAGTGCGGAGGAGGATTCCGCATCAGCAAAAACAGGCTTGAAGGTAGTGGTAGTTTAAGAATCAGGAATGGTAAGATTTGCAGTTTATAATGGTTAATTACGTAATACGTATGTTGTAGCTCCAGTTAATTTTATGATTGAATAAGCAAAGGAGGGAAGAATTGAAAAGTCCATTAAAAAACAACAAGTGGAGCCGCCGCAGATACGCTGCGGCCCAGAAGAGGGAATGTTCCATGGGGCGGCAGAACGGGTGAAGGAGCAGCAGTGGCGGGCAGGCTGCAGGTCAGAGGGGGAGGCGGCGGCGGCGAATCCGTGTGGGACCTCATCTGCCCCTCTCTCTCTCTCTCTCTCTCTCTCTCTCTCTCTCTCTCTCTCTCTCTCTCTCTCACACACACACACACACACACACACACACACACACA